TATTTAGTGAGCTGGTATGGATATCTGAGCTGTCCAGGAGTCCCTACTGCTCAAAGTGTGGTAAATCAGGTTAGTGAGGTGCAAGCACTGATAATCAGATGGGAATAATCATGATAATTGACACCTGAGCCTAAACAAGGATAGGACTGATTATTAAATAACCTGGAATAAAAGATGTTCAGGAAAAGTACACAAGAAATGAAGAGGGGTGGCAGTATTGATAAAGGAGAATATTATCGAGGTAGAGAAACAGAATGATCTGAAGGGTATTTGTCAGCATTTAAAAAGAGAGCGGCTATTATATTCTTGATCAGATGCATTCTACAGGGCACCAGTAGGTAGAAAGATATGAAGGAGTAAATTTCCAGGGCAATTACAGAATGGTGCAAGTTGCTGTGATGTGCTTTCACCATCTTAATATAAAGAAAGATAACAATAATGTAAAGTGCAAAGAAAGGAAACAGTCTCTGAAGTGTGCTTGAGAGAATTTTCTTGATCAGTACTTTCCAGTTCAAAGTGGAAAGAGGCATTACTGGACCTGGTTTCAGAGAATGACGTGGACCCAATGGATTTGGTGTCAGTAGGTTAAAGGGGCAAACTGCAATCTACAGTAAATATTCACTTGACTGATAATCAATTTCGTTGGGGTCAAAACAGAAGAATTAAACTCAGAGATTAGCAGGCACAATTATAGCTTAACAATGGACTGCATTTAAGGAGAAAATGGTTCAGGTATGTCAAGATACATTCCCACAGAAAGCCATGTATGGCAACCAAAAGCAGATCTCCCTAAATTATGAAAGAGATTAATAGTAAAATGAAGCAGAAAATTGTCAGTACTATATAGTCAATGGAGACGGTATAAAAATATTCACGTGCATAACTTCAGAACTGAAAATTCATACCCATCAGAAAAGGATAGGATGAGGCACTCATCTCTAGAAAAGAGAAAGCTGAGGAATAACCTGATAGAAGTCTATAAAATTGTGAAAGGTTTTAGTAGGGTGGAGAACACCAGAGTTAGGATCTATTAAATTCAGAAAAAACTTCTTTACCCACAGAATTGGTAGAATGTAGTACTTTTTTTGCAGAATAGTTGAAGCAGCTAATTATTTAAGACGGGTTTGAAGAAAAATAAATACATGGATATGTTGCTGAGATTGGGGGAAGAGGAGAGGAATGAAGTTCAAGTAGAGCACAACACCAGGAGGGACACATTTAATCAAATAGTCGGTTTCTGGGTTATATGAAGTATGTAATTTCCTTGCTGACAGCAGCAAAGAAGTGCTAAAATTCAGTGGCATTTTGTTGGTCCTGGCCAGTGCAGATAAAAAGATTAGGATCCCCAGTTACCTCGTGGCAACTCACATCGTACAAGGAGGTCACCATCTTCATTCTCATTCTCCTCACCTCCAATGGATTTTCTGTGGACTATATGTGCTCAGTGCCTTGTTTCTCCTGCAATTACAAACTTACTTCCACTTAATGTTGCACACAGAGCGTAAGACACCACATCGCTCTGCAGGGTCTCTCTGGTGAGCACTAATAGGTCTTATTGTGATACCTAAAACATACCTTGGTATGCAATCACTTACTGAAATATATATCTGATGGCCATTTGGCTGTCATAGTGTAACTAGAGGATCTTCAGGCAATCCTTGCATCTGTTTGTACGTCTACAGATGTCAGGGAGCTTTGACTGCCTCAGAATGAAACATTATAATAATTACACAGACGTGTGATGCCCTCCGAATAAATCTTTTCTGATAGTTGCATTCCAGTTGAATGTGGATAAAATTGCATTACTTATAATCAATAATGCAGTATTCTACATCTGAGGACTGCACAGACTGTCACTTGAGCAGCAATGACAAGCTAAACCTATGGAAAGCCAAAGATGCAAATCCCAGCACCTCTCATCTCAACTGGTGCTATTCCAGGAGAAGTTTAAATAATTTTCAATCCCATGAAAAGATCCAGTCACCCGTGTTTATGTGCAAACAACTGGATGTGTCCTCTCTAGGGTGTTGGAAAGATTTTTAGGCCAAAATGCTAAGGGCTGTGATCACTTTAACGATCGTTGATAATGAGGGATGATCAAGTTGAGGAGGGAGTAGGTACCATTCCAAGAGGCTACAGATGACTGTCACTATCAGATGTAATAATTCTAGCTTTCAGAGAGGGTAGGACAGCTAAGCCTCTGCCTGCACACCCTATTATATAGATTTTACCTAATGTAATCTCAATCTATCACTATTATTTTCCTCTCTGTTCACTATTTCCATTTCTCTTCAAGCTGTTATAGAGTCATTGGGTCATACAGCATGGAAACAGACCCTTCGGTCCAATCAGTTCATGTCAACCATAATCCCAAACTAAACAAGTCTCACCTACATGCACGTGGCCCATATCCCTCCAAACATTTCTTTTTCACATAATCACTGTTGCTGGTAGTCATCTTCCTTCTCATTTGACATCCAATCTAAGGAGTTATGGCACTGTCCATCCTGATCTTTGATTTCAATAACTCTCTCCCATGTCAGCTATGAGCACTAATTATTTAGTGTTCTCAGATGCCTGACTTTATATGACCCCCATGAAAGTATATTCCATTCATTTTAGCAGGTGAAACAGCATCTGTGGAGCGAGAAATAAAATTAACATTTTGTGTCCAATATTTCAGATCTGCAGTATTTTGCTTTAATTGTATTCATTTCAATTCGGGTTGCATGACTTGATTGAGGAAGACTTGAAAATCTGTGCAAGTTTAATTGAAATACCAGTCAAAACCTAAACAAAAGTACACTCTGTAGCTCATTGTAATCTCATAAACAGTAATCTGACAGGATTACTAAACTACAGCTAAGGATGGTGGTGGGAATAGGGGTTGGAGATGGAGCTGGGAATGAGGGCAGGAATAGGGGTGGAGATGGAGCTAGAGATGGGGATGGAAATGGGGATGGAGGTGGAAATGGGGATGGAGATAGATCTGGCAGTGGTTGTTTGCAGATGACACAAAGATAGGGGAAGGAGCAGGTAAAGTTGAGGAAGCAGGGAGGCTGCAGAAGGACTTGGACATGTTAGGAGAGTAGGGGAGAAGTGGCAGATGGAATACAATGTGAGAAAGAGTGAGGTTATGCACTTTGATGGGGGGAAATAGAGCTGTAGACTATTTTCTAAATGGAGAAAGGCTTCTGAAATCTGAAGCACCAAAGGACTTTGGAGACCTAGTTCAGGATTCTCTTAAGGTTAATATGCAGGTTCAGTTGGCAATTCGGAAGGCAAATGCAATGTTAGTGTTTATTTCAAGACAGCAAGAATACAATAGCAAAGATGTACTGCTAATGCTTTGGTCAGACCACATTTGCAATATTGGGAGAAATTTCCAGTCCCGTATGTAAGGATGGATGTCCTGGCACTGGAGGGGGTCCAGAGGAGATTTATATGAATGATTCTGGGGATGAAAAGTTAGTCATAAGAGGAGCAGTAGAGGACTCCAGGTCTGTACTCGATGGAGTTTAGAAAAATTGGGATGCAGGAATCTCATTGAAAGTGATAAAAATCTGAAAGTCCTGATAGAGTGGATGTGGAGAAGATGTTTCCACTGGTAGGAGAGACTAGGACTCAAGGGCACAGCCTCAGAATGAAGAGACAACCATTTAGAACTGAGATGAGGAGGAATTTCTTCACCCAGAAGGTGATGAATCTGTGGAACTCAGATAAATATCAAATATAAATATCTATCTTTCAGACCATTTGACCAAATCAGATTTTGTTGTGGCTTAGTTGCAGGTAACAAAACTGCAACTTTATGCAACCATAATATTTTGTTTCCATTAATGTTTTGTTTCTTTTTTTAAAAAATCATAGCCACAGAAGGCCGTGGAGACTAAGTCATTGAGTGTATTTAAGACATAGATGGATAGATTCTTGATTACTAAGGGTATCAAGGGTTACGGAAGAGGCAGGAGAATGGGATTGAGAAACACAGCTATGATTGAATGGTGGAGCAGACTTGATGGGTCGAATGCTCTATTTCAGGTCCTATGTCTTATAATAGGGATTAAGTTGGAGCCTAGGGTGAGGGTAGGAATGGGGAGTGAAGATAGAATTGAGGAAGGTAATTGGGGCAAAAAAGTGTTGGGGATGGACCTGGGAATGAGGTAGGTGTAGAGGTGGGGATGGGGTTGTGAACAGATGCGGCCATGGAGCTGGGTGAGGTTGTGGGTGGAGCTGGAACTGGGAATGGATCAGGAGATAGGGGTGGTGTGGACACGAAGTTGGGTTGGTGTCTGAGTTGGGAATGAAGCAGGCAATGGGAGTTGAGTTGGGGTAGTGGTGGACTTGGAGATAGGGATAGGGCTAGAGATGGTCGCTAAAATGGGAGTTGAGCTGGGGGTGGAGATGGGAGTAGGTATGGAGATTAGGGTGGGGTAGAGATGGAGCAATGAATGGGGGTAGACGTGGAAATAGGGTGAGGGTGGAAATGGAACTGGGTTAGAATGGTGAGGGAGTGGAGACTGGGGGAAGATGCAGTTGGTGATGTGATGGAGATAACACAGTGTGGAGCTAGAGGAGCACAGCAGACCAGGCAGCATCAGAGGAGCAGGAAAGTTGACGTTTCGGTTCGGGACCCTTGTTCAGAAAAATGAAGAAAGGTCCCGACCCGAAACATCAGCTTTCCTGCTCCTCTGATGCTGCCTGGTCTGCTGTGTTCATCCAGCTCCCTGACTCCAGCATCAGCAGTTCTTACTATCTCTGGCGATGTCATGGAGCTCGGGAGCTGCAATGTGGAGATGGATATACATCAGGGGGTGGGGCTAGAGGTTCCAGCTCGCACCTGGCCCCTGACGTCACACACTTCGTTCACCTGGACCGGTCCAGACGACTACTTCCGGTAGGCGACGGCAAGTGATTGACCAGCAACCCAACCAATTATAGCAGGGAATGATCATTCACGTGACGATTATGTACCAATAGAAGCGGTGCAGGGACGGGTTTCTGAGGGAAGGAGCAAGTAGCTGTTTATATGATGGAGGTGGTTTAGCGAGCGTCCGTGGAGTTTACTCTGACCATTAATCACGGGTGATTCGTGATTGGAGAAGTAGGCTGGCATTGGCCATGGCAACGGGTCATTTTGCATCGAGCGGATGAAGTCCAAAACGTGATCTGCACGAAGTTTGGCCTTTTTTTATTGTGAAAGGCCTGGGCGCAGCGGGCACACAGGGACCTGACTCCAGCCGTCAGCATCAGTACCCTGCCCATTGCCGTAAGGAATTCCCGGGAGCAGGGTGCCCATTGCAGTAAGGGATTCCCGGGAGCAGGGTGCCCATTGCAGTGACGGTGCCTAGGCGGCAGAGTGCCCATTGCAGTGGGGGTCCCAGGGGGTAGGGTACCCATTGCAATGAGAGTGTCCTGGGAGCAGGGGACAGGGTGCCTGAGGGAATAGGTTTTTTTAATCACACGAGTGCCCTGGAGATGGAGTGCCCCTTGATATGCATTAATTGTAATGAGATTCCAAGTTTTTCAGAGGATGTGTGATGAGGGCATCCTTTAATTGCCATTAAGTGAAGCCAATTTTCCAGAAAATGAAACAACTTTTTTTTTTACATGGGGAAAGTGTAGTACAGGTTCCTGCTGAATGTGGATCTAGTAGGATATGATCGACTGAAGTACATTGAGGAGAGAAATACACTTGTATCCTTGAATCATGCCATGCACTTTTGGAAACTGGAGACGATGGATCCGGCCTTTGGTGGTATTCTTGTACCTTGTGGGTGTTGTGGTTGCTGTTCCTCTCTGTGTCTGGGAGCTGCGAAAATCTGAGGTAACATGGCAATCTTGTTCAACATCAGTGTGATGTACTTCTGTTTTTGAAAGGTGAATTATGTAAGTAGGAAGCTTTTGCTGGAGAGTATCATTTGTTATTTCAAATTGTACATGTAGAAACTCCCGTAACCAAAAGTACTGTTCTTGTTTAAGAACATCATAGTTTTCTTAAATAATTTTTAAAATAATTTCTTTTTGATTTAAAGGATTTTCTGGAACATTGGTTATGATAAATTGGAGACCTTCCATAGCTGAGTATTTTTCTCTGCTATCCTATGTGTCTTTCAACTTCTAGACTTCCTTTCTCTCTTCTATTACACTTTTTTTGTCCATTCCTTCAGATAGAAGTTAGTGGAGAAGACAATATTTTGTGGAGCTGACTCTTGAACTCTAGACCCGGGAGTGATCACAGGCTTTAGATACCTTTTGAGCTGCAGATCGTAGGCTGGAAAGAGATCTAGGAAGAAGATATCTTCTTTATGAAAGCAAGGCTTGGAGAGATGGGGATCAGGATAGGAGAGGGGGAGGTGAAAGTTGACAGAAAGGAAAGCACAGGCACTTGGGCAAGGGCAAGAAATATGAAAAAAATATGCATTCAGTGGTAATAGAAAAGTGTAACGAGCAGGAAGAATCATGTTCTGTCTTCAGGATTTGAGTTTGATGGAAACGAGATGTAAACACTGAGGATTAGAAAGGGGCAAATACTTTTTCCTTGAATTAGGAGATGGGGAAATTGGAGAAGAGTGTATATTTGGATTTCAACATGGAAGGAGGGGACACTCTACATGATGCACAGTTGGAACAGGCAAGAAGGCAGTCTGGAAATACTTTTTCCCCTGCAAGACTAATTTAGGAAAGTTCCATTATTTAAATAATGGTGACTGAGAATTATAGAATAGTTACAACACAGAAGTAACGAAGTTCAGTCTCCCAGCATTCTTATTGGGTGTGGTGTAATTATCTAATGTCACTCCCATGCCCTTTCAAATGCTTTCACTTAAATTGTATTTTGAAAGCCATAAGCTGCATCCATCACCCTTTCAAGCAGTGCATTGTAACTCTGGGGAAGAAAGGTTTTTCTTCACGTCACCTTTGGCAAAAGAACCGTTCAAATCAAATCTCTGCCCTTTGATTCTTGAACCTCCTGCTGATGGAACGGTTTCCCTTTTAACTATCTAAACCTATCATTATTTTTCACATCTATGTTGAATCTCCTCTTCATCCTAGTTTATAACTCCATCATCTCCAATGTATCAACATAACTGAAGTTCCTCAGCTGTGTAACAATTCTCAAAGTCTTTCCTGCACTCTAAAATTTTTGCATCCTTCCTAAAGTGCAGTGGCCAAAATTGAATGCACCATTCCAATTGAGGTCAAGTCTGTCTTTTATGAAGAATCTTCCTAACTGGCTTGTTCTTGTATTCTATGCCACTAATGTGTAATTCCTCGAGTTCTTTGACATTTTAACTGCTTTCTGGGCATGCCATGCTATCTTCCAGCAATTTGTGTATACATATCCCTGAAATCTTTGTTCCTACTCCCCTTTAGAATTGTGTCCTTTGTATTGCCGCTGCTTGTTACTTCAACCACAATGCATCAATTTGCACTTCTGTTCATTGAATTTCATCTGAATGCCTCAAATAAACATACAATACTGTGGCTGTTGGAAGTCTGAAACAAACCAAGAAAGCTGGAGAAACCCGGCAGGTGTGGCAGCATGTGAAGTGAGAAACAGTGTTAACGTTGAGTCCAGTATGACTTTTCTTCAGATGTAGTCAGTTCAGTCAGTTGTACCAGACTCAATATTAACTCTTGTTTTGAATTTGTGCCTTCTACAACCCAAGTCAGGAACAACATTGGTCCAAACACAGACTCTTGGAGAACCTCACAGTGCACATCCCTCCAATTCAAGAAAGAATCATTCATTGCTACCCTTTGTTTTTTGTGACTCAGTCAGTTTTATCTGCATGCCTCCACTCTCCCTGTTATTGTAGCACTTCTCAAACCTCTTAGAAGTTCAGAGATCACATAAAGTGCTCAACTCTTGCCTACCATCTATGTTACATCATCAATAAACTCAATCCAATTAATCAAATTGGGAGTAAGAATGTGTAATAGAAAAAGTTGCCAAAGTGTGCGGACATCAGTTCAAATTGTCAATGATTTAGCAGTTATTAATTCAAGAGGAATATGCCCACTTAACGTAGCATTTTGCCTGACGTAACCAACTGCCAGCAACAGAAATATAGTTAGATGATGCTAGGAAAGATCCTCTCACTGATGTGGTCATTGTTAGTCTTAAAAATAAATATCTATCTTTCAGACCATTTGACCAAATCAGATTTTGTTGTGGTTTAGTTGCAGGGAACAAAACTGCAACTTTATGCAACCATAATATTTTGTTTCCATTAATGTTTTGTTTCTTTTTTTTTAATCCAGGTGGGAACTCACAATAAAGCATGGTTCACTGCTGGAATTTTTGTGTTTATGACAATCCCAATATCACTTTGGGGTATCTTGCAGCATCTAGTGCATTATACTCAGCCAGAATTACAGAAACCAATAATAAGGTATTCATTGTATCTGTGCTTTTATGATTAATCTGTTTTTCACGTAGAAAAATCTGTAAATGTCAACCATTTAGAAATCGTAATTTACTGTCAATTTTCTGACTACAGGATCCTATGGATGGTACCCATTTACAGTTTAGACAGTGTAAGTTGATTTTATAGTTATGAATAATTTGTATTGTTATGAAGCACTGAATTAAATTACTATTCATGTACCAGACAATTAGCTGACTACTGAAGAAATATGCAAAATCCCCAAACTACTTTTCTTTTCAGACGAGGATTGGTAGAAAACATGGACCAGCTGGACTTGTGCACAGACGTATGAACTCAGCAAGAAATCTCATTAGATTCTAGCTACATGTAAACAACTATTCAAATTAAAACTCCACTCCAAAACTTCCCCTTCTACACGTGCAGATAAGCATTATAATTGGGAACAGAGAGGAGAAACCCACATGGGCAGAGGGAAAACAAGTTCTGTAGTCTTTGTTCCCAAAACCTATGGGTTGACTTTTGCTTATCTAAAGGTTTATCCTTGATCTTTCTTAATTCCAAATGTTTTCATTGGTTTGCAGGAGGCATGAGGTGCCTGTTTCACTTATTTAAAAAAAGTCTCTGACATATCCAGTTCAAAGTTACAACTTGCACCATCTACTGAACAAAAGATAAGCTAGTTTTCTTCAGTTTTAAAGTGGCTTACGATGAGAACCAAGAGTGTTATTGGCTGCTGTAGGTCTGTTAGTTTCTTTTCTAAAGCTTTTCTTTGCACACAGCCCAGTGTTCAGCTACCTGACAACCAATCCTGTTGTTGGCATGCAGAGGACCTTTTGTCATTGGTTTGTGGACTCGGAACCAATTATCAATCAGTTTCACTCATAGTGAACCAGCCAAACAAACAGGGTTCGCAACGTTATCAAGTTTTTTTGCTTTCAAAGCAGCCAACCGTTTTTGTAAATTCTTAGTTTAATACAGTTCTTTCCCATTTCTGTCCGCAGTTTTTAAAAACCAATAATGAAAAGATGGTCTTGATAATAAATTCAAGTCTTTCTTTAATGTAAACTCTGATTTTTCGACTGATTTCAACCCAAGATCTTGAGGGTTGTTATTACAAATGATCGAGCCAGAGTAAACTGCATTTTAATGTATAACTAAAGCCAAATCGTCTCATTACAGGTTATGTAGATAGATCCTTGAATTAAAAATTTGTGGAAGTTTTTTGGGCAAAATAGAACAGCTACAATTTATAATTCCCCATTTGGGGAATTAAGTATAGCTCCTTTTTAATGCTGCAGCATACATACAAGCATTTTTTCAAAACATTAACAGTTAAGTTTGAAGTTGACTTGATGTACACATCTAACATTTTATGGTACAATGTATTTCATAGATGTAACTGAGATAACATCATCGGGTGAGCTGAAGTAATATTTGATTTGCGATGATTCAGTAACACTCTCTAGTTTTCATCAACAATAGGTGTCAATGTGTGACATTAAATTCATAAGACAATTAAAACAAACAACCTGATTAGAAAACAATGTGATCAGAGTGTAGCCAATAACCTTGAAAGTGGATATGGATGTGTCACAAAGGATCAATAAAATACAAAACTAGCAAAAATAAAGTAATATTTGTTGCAGCTGGTGTCCTTGGGCATAACTGTTATTTGGATCAACTGGAAATTAAAGCTAACCTGTGACTCATACTGTTTATTTCCCTTTTTTGGAAGTTATGTCTGGTCATCCTTATAAAGCATTTCTATTTTCATAACTACATGGAATATAATTAAAGGTCATATCAAATTCTTGAATGGCATCCTGAGCGCGCACACTTCTGTTCCATGAATCTTAACAGTTCACTACAAATTTTGAGGTCAATTTATGGGTCACGTAATATTTCATATCTATAGTATTATGGTACACACTAACTGTTCAGTCATTCAGTTAGATTATAGCTGCTTTGTATCTCTGCTTCATATCCCTTAATATCCGTACCCAGAAAATCTGCCAATCCCAATTGACCTAACATTCACATCTGTTTGGGAGGTATGTTGCATGTTAACTCCATTTTCTAGTGATTAAAAATACTTGTTGGTTTTAATCTGAAAAATCTTGGCTCTAAACTTATCATTTTACCCACTTGTTCTGAATTGTGTTACCAGAGGAACTACGGTGGTTTCATTGTATCCTATCACATCCTGTTACCACTTCAAAAGCTTCATCTGAAGTTGCAAATGTTTGTTGATTCCTAAGTGCTGCAGAAAAGAGTGACGTGATGGTTTCTTTTAAAATAATACTTTTTCAAGTGAAGACACAGCTGTGTATTGTCATGAAACTTCTTTAACTGTATGTATGACAAGTATTAAGAGAACCAAAGTTTTCCTGGGGGAAAATTGGAGGCAAGAACATAACAGACTTGTGGTATGCTGAATATATGGCTTTTCTTCCAGAATCTAAAGAAGCTGCATAAAGTATCATAATTGAATAAAATCTAGAATCTTAAAATATGGGTTGAGTATGAACAGCAGAAAGATGAAGATATTGGTATTCACTAGTGTTATGATAACAGTAGATGCCAGATGCAATGCCACAGTCAGAAGGATAGAATTGGGTGGAAATAATTTTGTGAAAATAAATGCTTTATTAAAAACAAGAAAGCCAGGGTGAAAAATAATTTGTACTGCTTTCTGTCTACGTGGCTGTAATTGCCAGAAGCCTGGACTCCAAAGATCTGTGGAAGAAAATAAATGTCCTTGAAGTATGGATGTTAAAATTTATGTTTAAAATTAAAAATATAGACCATAAGACTAATGAAGAACTGTTTGAAATTGCAAGAGCAAAAGGAACTCTTAAAGTGACACCCAGAAAAGAAAATCAGTATTTTAACCACTTGATTAGAAAAACTGAAAAACTACGACAATCTGTTCTGGAAGGTAAAGTGGAAGGCATCTGAAAGATGATCAACCTAGGTGTAATTGCATGATAGATGTTATAGAGCAGTTGCAAACAAATTACACAGCATGAATGAGGATGACGCAAGACTGACCAGCATGGCAGGAGATCTGGTAGGAGTAGCTACAAGCTGAGGCAGCAGCACATCTTCCAAACTGTTAACTATCTATTCTATGTTCTCTTCCTTTCAGCTACATGTCCTTGCCCTAATTTATTAGAACTTAGAATCCCTACACTGTGGAAGCAAGCATTTGGCCCATTGAGTCCACACCAACCCTCTGAAAGGCATCCCCCCCCCCCCCCCCATCCACATAATTCCCATGGCTAATCCACCTAGCCTGCCCATCCCTGGACACTACAGGCAATTTAGCATGGAAAGTCAACCTAACCTGCACATCTTTGGACTGTGGGAGGAAACCCACACAGACAACGTGTAAACGCCACACACCAGTCGCCTGAGGATGGAATCAAACCCAGGTCCCTGGTGCTGTGAGGCAACAGTGCTAACCACTGACCTACCGTGCTGCCTTCTTCCCACTTTACCTGATATGGCTCCCTTCTTCACTCCATGTTTAAGGGGTGTACATGTGAATGTATCAAGCAGCCAACTGATGCATTGTTTCATCCACAGATTTAGCTAGACACAGTCCTTTGTCAAAACCACTCAGTTCTCTGAAAGATCTCTGGAACAAAGATAACCTGTGCCTTATTTTCATTATTTGTAACTGCTATCTTGAACACCCCCACCAGCAGATGTAAGGAGACCATAGACAATTTTGAAGCAATGACAAAGTACCTGTTCAGCTGACTTCAGCATTCTCGTGTTCCTTTTGCCACCAAAGCCAAGTGTTTTGCAAAGTTCGCCCCAAAGTCTTAGCCCTGTAAAGATACCTTTTTCTAGTCTCTCTCCTATCTCCTTCATACCTTCTGAGAGTCTCTTGTTAACAAAATTCGGCTCCTGATTTATTTGTTTAACTGTCTGTTTTCATTAAACTGATGTTGGCTGTTTCCTCTCCTACTTGACGTTGTGGCTAACTTTGTAAATGATTCGCTATTGTTGACACTTGTGTCCTTCCATTTAAAAACTATCTTTATCACCACTTTGAAACCTCATTATCAACTATCTCCTAGTAAACTAAGCTTCATCTCCAACCTCCCTTTCCCCTCAGTTCTTAATCATGTGACCCCCAGAATCTATCTATCATGTTATTCATGTTTAATTCTTTCTATCAATGTTTTGGCCCATATCAAGGCATTAATGATCAAGGTGCAGTGTCTCTCCTGTAAAGGTTGCAGAGAAGTAGTTCATCACATTATCTTCCTGCAACACTTTTATTCTCCAGTTCAGTGGCAATACCCTTGTTGCTTGCAAACTTAACCTATTGAGTTTTGGACACCATATATTCACCCACACTTAACTGATGTTGGTTTATGTGTCTGATTTTAGTTGAGCTGCGTGTTCTCCTGGTTACAAATTAAAATAACTAAAGCCATTGTGTCTGGCCCCTATAATTTATTCTAAGTCCTGACTACTAGTTCATTTTTTTTTGGTGACAATATTTGGTTGAACCAGACTGTAAAGTAACTTGATGCCCTACTGAACCCAGAGCTGAGCTTTTTACTTTATCTTCATTATCAACCTCTGCCATGTCTTAGAACATCTGCTATGTGACCATTGTTTTTGATTCTCTAACTTTTGATTGAGCTATTCTGGTTTCTTGTAATTCTATCTTTAACTTTCTTCAGCGAAGCAGGCCTCCAAGAATGTAATGTTCCTTCAACTTAGTGCAGCTATATTCCAATGTAGCATAATTGGGCATTTGAGTGCTGTAACCCACAGGGTTATGTATCAAGAGTTGAAAATTGGGATTATCCTGGAAAATTGTTTTGGCCACTGCCGATTCAGTCGCATGGCCTCTTGTGCTGTAAGTATTCTATATATCAAAGGCATTCACAAAGAAGATGATTGGTACATATTGCATGATCCCTGTCTGATTTAGGATAGGCTCACTTCTTACTTTTACTACTTTGTTCTGGTGTTTGGGGTGGCATTTGTTGAATAAACATACTGGTCAGAATGCTGGATTAGGCAACAGTTTAACATCCAGATGCTGATCTGAAGTTTGTGTAGCATGTCTATGTTTAATTACTTACTTTCACATGAAATCATCTTTGCTTAACAGTGGATAGCCTTGAAGTATCCTCATATTGCAATATATGTTGATACATGTCGAGAATGCTATGAAGCATACGTCATCTATAACTTCATGATCTTCCTATTGAGCTATTTGACGTATCAGCACCCAAATTTGGTGATTCTGCTGGAAGCTAAAGATCAACAGAAACATCTGCCTCCTCTTTGCTGCTGTCCGTCTTGGCATATGGGAGAGTAAGTAACCATGTTCAAGTGTTTGTGCACTGCTTAAGTGCAACTAATTTTCCTGTAGATGTCTAAGCTGTTTTACAGGATGTTAATTTACTACCTAATCTAAAAACAAGGTGCTTTTGAATCCTGGAAATCTGAAATTAAGAGAAAATTTGGGAAACTCTTAATAGGCTAGGTTGCATTTGTGATAAAAGAAGCTGAATTAACAATTCAGATCAGAAATTGATGCCTTGTCAATAGCCTACAGTCTGAAACAAAAACTGAAATTGCTGGCAACACTCAGCAGATCTGGCAGTATCTGTGAAGAGAAAGCAGAATTAACACATAGAGTCTGGTGACCGTTCTTCAGAACTCTGATTCCAGTTCTGACGAAGGGTCATCGGACTCGAAACATTAACTCTGGTAGCATTTGTGCAGAAAAAGCAGATCTACCGAGTTTCTGTTTTTGTTTCAGATTTGCAGCATTCACAATTCTTTGTTTTATCCCATAAACTAATGTACCTTGTTCTTAGATTTTTCATTGTTCTCAATTGTCATTTTGGCCTAAAGACAATCTAAGCATATATCTATAAATAATGAATTATTGAGAAATATCCTGTATTTGATTTTGAAGTATTGCCATTAATTCTGTATACAAATTTAATTTTATTCTTGTGAATAAGAAATAAGACATTTGTGGATTACATAATAACTATCTTTGCAGTATTTTAATTGGCTCATGCTATACGTAGAATTGTCTACGAATGATGACAAATACACATTCAGTTTTCAGGTTTCAGCTTTATTCAAAATGCTAAAGTTACCATGTTTCACGTAGTTTCACTGAAGTTTTCCTATTAAATGCTATTACTTCCTGTTTCAGAACCTTCTAAATATTGTTACAAGCATATGTCACACCTCAGGCTTGTGTTTTCTTTGGCAGGGTGTTGCTGTTCAGGTGCAAGCTTGGAGTTTTGCAGTACACTGTTGTTAGACCATTTACGACCATAATTGCATTGTAAGTAGTATTGTCTTAGAGTAGTAAATCCAAATGTATCTATCTATATTCTCTCAGGGGCTCCAGCATTTGTTGTGCAACAATCAATATTTCCTACAATCTCTAATATGCTGCATTTGATTACTCAGAGTATTGTCTTTTTATTGGAGATAACTAATGCAGGTGGTTGCCCACTTGGCTGAGCATCATTTCTTTTTCCTTGTACAACTGTCCCATCCTTTCTACCTTTTTTGGTCTGCTGCACAACTCCAGCTAAACACCGCACTAATTCATGGAGCATTGTTTTCACTTTCATTTTCATATTCTTGAGAGATTAATTATTCCTCCTGTTTTCTTGTAAATTTTCCTGAAGGTTTAATTTACTTTCAGAGCCACATAAATCTTAGTTCATTGTCTTCTCTGCAATCTTGGATTACAGGATACATCATATCTCTCAATCCCTTTTTATCTTGAAACACAAGCCACAGCAGAAGAAATTCAGCTAATTGTGCTTGTCAAAAAAGCTTTTTGCTTGTTCAAGTGTATATCTAATTCCTTTTAGAAGTTATGATTGAAATTGTTTCCATTGTCCTTTGAGGCCATGCATTCCAGATCTCACATCATTGTATTTCTTTTTAATGCCTCATCTTCTGTCCATGGATTGGAAGTATTGCATACAGTTTTGATCCCCTTTTTAATTGAAAAGAATTGTTATTGCTTGAGAAGATGTTTGGAGAAGGTTAACTCGACTCGCTCCAGGGATGAAGGCTTATCTTATGAATTTAAGGTTGTAAAGGTTAGGCCTTATGCACTTAAGTTTAGAAGGAGTTCAAATTTTATTGAAATGTACAAGATCTTGATCTTGATCTTGAGGATTGGGTGGATAGCTGAAGAATGTTTCCTCGTGACATTAAACTAGGGAAAATATGTCTAAAAGTAAGAGGTCTCTCCCTTTTTAAGAAAGATGAAAATTTGTTTTTCTGTCATCAGACCGTGGAATTCTTTTCCCCAGAAAACAGTGGAGGTTTGGTCTTTAAATTTACTCAACACTGAGTTAGATATTTGGGAAACAAGGTGGCCTTAGATTAGGGGGTCCATATGGGAAAGTGGAGTTGTGATCTTACAAACAGTAGAGGCCAAATGGCCTGCTACTATTCCTGCCCTGATTTACTGATTGCTGTGCATCGTAAAACTAGGCTGAGTCAGCATGGCTTTGTCAATGGGAGGTCATACCTGACAAATCTCTTATAATTCTTTGAGAACATAAAGAGCAAGTTAGACATAGAGCAGGTGGACATGATTTGTTTGGATTTTCAAAGACCTTTGACAAAATGCTGCACAGGAGGCTGCTAAATAAGAGCCCATAGTGGTACAGGCAAGGTACTGGCATGGTGAGAGGATTGGCTGACTGGCAGAAGGCAGAGTGAAGGGATAAAAGGATCTTTTTCAGGATGGCAACTGGTGATTTAGAGGAGTTCTGCAAGGGTCAGTGTTGGTACCACAACTATTCATGTTGTACATGAACAATCTGGATGAAGGAACTGAAGACATCGTTGCTCTGTTTGTAGATGACACAAAGGTGGAGGAACATGCAGTGTTGAGGAAGCAGGCAGGTTGTAGAAGGATTTAGACAGGCTAGGAGCGTGTACAGAGAAGCGGTAGAAGGAATACAATGTGGGAAAGTATGAGGTTACACACTTTGGTAGGAAGAGTAGAGGTGTAGACTATGTTTGTTTACTAAATGGGAAAAGACTTTTGAAATCTGAAGCACAGAGATTTAAGAGAATCCTAAACTAGAACTCTTAAGGTTAACATGGTACATTCAGCAGTGGGAAGGTAAATGCAATGTTAGCATTCGTTTTGAGGGGACTAGAATACGACAGCAGGGATGTACTGCTGATGCTGTATAAGGCTGTGGTCATTTGGAATATTGTGAGCAGTTTTGAAACTTACAGAATACTGAGTGGCCTGGGTAGAGTGGGTGTGTTTCAAGGACCAAGAAGATAGAACAAAGGTTATGGGAAGAAGGTAAGAGAATGGGGTTGAGAAACATGTTTGCCATGATCAAATGATGTGGAGGTGCTAGTGTTGGACTGGGGTGCACAAGGTCAGAAGTCACATGATACCAAGTTATAGTCCAACAGGTTTATTTGAAGTCTCAAGTTTTTGGAGTGCTGCTTCTTCGTCAGGTGAAGTGAAGGGAAGCACAGAATTTATAGGCAGAGAGATCAAACAATAGTACAGATGGTGTGAGTGGAGCATTGACAGGCTGAATAACAAGTCTTTGCAGGTGACCAGAAGTGTTACTCTCACAGTCAGTTCATTGATTTCATTTCCAATTTCAACTCTGCCCTCACTTTCACCTGGTCTATTTCTGACTCCTCCCTTGCCTTCCTCGACATCTCTGTTTCCATTTCTGGGGCAGACTGGCCACTAATATCCACCATAAACCCACCGATTTCACACAGCTACCTGGACTATACATCCTCGCACCCTGCTTCATGTTAAGACTCCATTCCATTCTCTCAGAGCCTTTGTCCCCATTGCATATGTTCCAGTGAGGCCAACTTCAACAAGGGAGCCTCTGAAATGTCCACCTTCTTCCTCAGCAGAGTATTCCCCAGTACGGTTGTCGACAAGGCCCTCAACTGGGTCCAACCCATCTCTCGCACTTCTGCTCTCATCCCTTCTCTTTCCTCCCACAACAGCGATAGGATTCCCCTTGTCCTTACCCACTATCCCACCAGCGTCTATATCCAGAAAATCATTAGCTGCCATTTCTGCCGCTTCCAGTGAGATGCCACTACCAGAGACACATTCCCCTTCCCTCCCTTGTCCGCTTTGCGAAGGGACCGTTCCCTCAGGACACCCTGGTCCACTTTTCCTTCACTCCCAACACTGCCCTTCCTCAGCCCCACGGCACCTTCCCTTGTAACCGGTGAAGGTGCAACACCTGCCCACTTACCTCCTCCCTCCCCAGTATCCAAGGGCCCAAACATACCTTCCAGGTGAAGCAACACTTCACCTGTACTTCCCACAATCTAGTCTACTGCATCAGTTCCTCACAATGTGTCTCCTCTACATTGGGGAAATGAAATGTAGACTGGCTGACCACTTCGCAAAACACCCACATTATGCCGCAAAAAAGACCGAGCTTCCTGTTGCCTGCCACTTTAACACATCACCCTGTTCCCTGGCCGATATCTCTGTCTCAGGCTCGCTGCAGTGTTTCATTGAAGCTCAGCACAAGCTGGAAGAACAACTCATTTTCTGCTTGGGGACCCAGCAGCCCTCTGGACTTCCTGTCATGTTCAATAATTTTAGGGCCTGAACTCTCCCATGTCCTAGCCCCCTACCCCACACACCAGGCCTTGTTATCACATAGCCTGCCATTACACACTACCTATTGTTAGCCACTAACCACCTCTATTAATAGCTATTCATCTTCCTAGCCAGATTGCTATCAATTGTCTGTCCAATTGTTCTTCTCTCTCTTTGGGCTCTATCCCCTCCTATCGTTTACTCCTTACCCCCTCTTCCCACACTATCTTCTACATATAAACCAATATTTTCCTAGCTACCATCATTTCTAAGGAAGGGCCACCGGATCCAAAATGTTAACTCTGATTTTTTTTTTTTCACAGATGCTGCTAGACCCGCTGAGCTTTTCCAGCAACTTCTGTTTTTATATCCCAGGGACTTGTAATTCAACCTGTCAACACTCCACTCACACCATTTGTACAATCGTTTGATCTCTCTGTCTATAAATTCTGTGCTTGTGTGAATCCCTTCACTTCACCTGATGAAGGAGCAGTGCTCTGAAAAGTTGTGAGTTCAAATAAACCTGTTGGACTATAACCTGGTGTCGTGTGACTTCTGACTCTGAATGGCAGAACAAACTCTGAGCCAAATTGCTTAATTCTTCACCTATATCTTATGGTCTTATGAACACTGGGGAAGCATGATAGGTCAGAATAGGAGGAGTACAGAGATTTCGAGGGATTTATTAGGGTAGAGAGATTGTAAGAGTCATTTTTTTTTTGTTGGTGAATTAGGAGCCATTGTAGCACAGGCGAATATACGTAGCAGAGATGAGCAAACAGGAATTGATGCAAATTAGAAAATTGTGGTAAAGGGTTTGTATAAATTCAAGTTAGGAAAACAATTTTGTGGCTAAGACCGAATTGGGATCTACAGTTAATAGAAGTGGACTGGGACAAAATGTATGAAGCTGTTGCTGTATGGATAATTAACTAGGAAATTAATTTTCATAGAGGTATGTTTGGAGAAATGAGAATTTTCTGTGCTGTATGGAAAACATCTAAACAAGACAAGATAACGAAGGATGCTATTTATTTTAAAAACAAACAGTTGATTGGGTTTATTTCTAGAGGGTAGAATTGAGAAGCAGATTATGTTAAATTTGTATAGAATATTTCTTAAACTACATCTGGATTACTTTTCGTGGTGTTTTTGAGTTGCTAGCTACACTATTTATTGCCCATTTCTAACTGTCCTGGAAAAAGTGGCGGTAAGCTACCTTCTTGAATTACTGCAGTTCTTGGGGTGTAGGGACACCCGCGCTGCTGTGAAGGAGTTCCAGGATTTTCCAAAAATTGAATCGTTCTGGTCTCCATGTAGAAAAACAATATATCAGAACTGGAGAAGGTTTGTAAAAGATTTGTGGAGTTTATACCAGAACTGAGAAGTTGCCTTACAATCATGGAATGGTTAAAGCAGAAGGATCCATTTGGTCTGTTGTCTGTGCTGGCCTTTGAGCAATTCACCTAGTACCACTTCCTTGCCTTTTCGCTGTGGCCCTGAGAATCTTTCTTTTGCAGATGATGAGCCACCTCTTTTTGGAAGTCTCAAATGACCCTGCCTGCATCCCACACTCAGGCAGTGGATTTCAAATGCTAACTATTTATCCCACTAAGAAGTTTCCTCCTGTCACCATCACTACATTTGTTATTTGTCTTAAATCTATGCGCACTTGTTCTCAATACTTTCATCACTGGGAACAATCCTAACTTCTCCAGTCCTTCTCCGTATCTGAAGCTCCTCACCCCTGGAACTATATTCGTGAATCTGTCTGCATCCTCTGTAATGCCTTCCCATTCTGGGCACCACATTTTAGGAAGGACGTGTCGTAGTATTCCATTTAAAGCCAAAGTAGTGTTTATAACAAGAAAAGATGAACATAGTTTTCTTTACAAAAGAGAAAACTGAAACATTGATAAGCAGAGAACTGCAGATGCTAAAAATCTGAAACGGTATGCTAGAGAAAGACAGCAGTATGGCAGAATCTGTATTGGAGGGGAAAAAAGCAGTTAACGTTTCAAGTTCCATTACTGTCAGAACTGAAGAGTTGATCTGATTAAAGACTTTAAAATTTATGGAAGGATTTGATGGGTCTAAACACAGAAGTCGTTAGACTTGCAGTGATCAAGATGCCATAAATATTTATGTTTGCTAGTAAATTTTGGAGAAATATCTTTATTCAGAGATGAAATGTGCAATGTGTGATCGATCACAAGTGATTATGGTAACTAACATAGATGAATTAAGAGTGCGAAAAGAATAGAACCATATAATAATAGTTAAATGAAGGGTGGGAAGAAGGTAGCATGAGGCATAAACACTGGTAAGGACACGTTGGTCCAACTGGTCTGTATCTGTTTGTGATGTTACATAGTATGTACAACAAAGGTACAAAATAGAGGCCAGCCAGGATAGCATGGCAATAGTCAAGTCTCAAGATAAAAGATCTGGATGAGCAATAAAGCATGCAGTGAGCTGAGCCAGAACAGAGATGGTCATGTTATTGTGGCAGAAGTTGGTGCTCTTGCCGAGGGAGAGGATATGGCATTCACAGGTCAGGTCCAGATCTAGATCAAATAGGACATCATCTTTTTGAACTGTTTTGTTATGCATCAGACAGTGGCTACAGCAAAAATTGGAGTTGGTGTAAGGATGTAGAGTTTGTGGCAGGACTGGTTTTTAGCATCCCAGTATTCAATTTCTGCTTGTGGATAGAGCAAGCATTTGAAACAAGCAGCAGAAAGACTAAGAGATAATAGTAGGGTAGATCTCCGGTCACTACCATACATGTGAAACCTGATTTGTTTTCGAATGATATTGTTGAGGGGAAAAATGTAGATCAGATGTAAGAGGGACCACAGATCACTGGACACTTCAAGAGGTAATAGACCAGAAAGAAAAATCATTACAGGTTGTTTTTTGACTGTGACTGGAAAGATACTGAGAGAAATATTTTTTAATCTGATCATCTGAAGATCACCGTAAGTGAAATGTAGACTGGAGCAGGTTGGCAGGCTGCCCAGCATTGGCCAATTGAGGTACTGAATGGCTAATTAATGACCACTTAATGTGGGTGCAATTTTACACATGCACACTTGCCACCCCCGCCCCAAAAAAACACCATCAACTAATGTGCTGCTGATGGTGTTGCTTCTTGGACTTGAGAGCAGTGAGTCTTCTGGTCAGCATCTCTGAGGCAGATCTGAGCCATTTAACAACCAGATGTCTGTTAACTCTGTTTATGATGCAGGCTTACTCACAATTTCTAAATTGGAAGGAGGGCCACTGATTTTTGTTACTGCAAGTTAGCCTGGCAGAAATAAAATCTTGTGTAAATTTATACTCACTTGCCACTTTATTTGAAATTTAATTCTCAGTTCTCCCATCCCTCTATTACATGGTTAAATATTCTTTCTAGACAGCTTCAGGGTATTTCCACTTTGTCTTGGGGGAAAGGGGTGCTATAGTGTCTATGAATGGTAATCCATGAGTAACCAGCAATGGATACAGATGGGATGAGATTTATAATACACTATTGTTCTTCCTGAGCACTGTTGTTTTGACTTGCTTTTATCTGATAAGCATGGCAAGGGCTGCCAAGATTTGGGAGTTGATGGCATGAAGTAATTAAGTATTAATTCACATATAAACTTCAGCATTTTGAAAGCAAGTCCTGTGCCAGAGCAGTCAGTTGGTCTAATATCCAAATGTGCGGTTCTTAAAACCAGCAAACCAGCCACTGCTAGCACTAAAAGTAGGCACATCTGCAGGATTTTCAGTTGTTTTTTGTTAGATCTTCATAAATTGATACAGCTTTCCCTTTTATGATGAGAAAGGTGGTCCCAGATCGCTTTTTCATTTGATCTTCTGTCCACACACTTCAAAACCGCTCCATCTCCTCAAGTTCCTTTGTCTGTGACCTCGCAGACATGCTAGCACTTAGACTTGTTCCAGCAATACAACTTGCTTTAATCTTTTCTACATTGTCTCTAATGGTGCGTAAGGTAGACTCCTTTATTCCTGTTATGTGAACTGTATCACATGTTCTCTCACTTACATTCAAAATGCTTTACAACGTCTAGCTTCTCTTCCAGTGTTATAGCCTTTTTTTTATGTTCACCACCCACAATTTTACCACCAGGATGCTTCTTGCTAACATTACTGCCACTTTGTCCTCGCATTATTGAGGATAACATGGCAGAACTTGCTTAAAAAAAAAATGAAAATCACAGAGCGCTTTGTGACAAAGTCTGCGAAATTATCACATGATGCCGGCGTGGAATTCTTTTGGCACTAACATTGCGCGTGTTCAGGATAAAGCTCGTGAAACAGCCCAGTGATGTCGGCGCGGAGACTCATTGCTAACATTGCACATGCTCGGGACAAAGCCCGTGAAACAATCATGTGATGTCAACAAGTACTCCTCCGCGCACTGTTTTAGAAATAGCATTCCCCTATTCACCAGTCACTTTATAGCCAATTTGCGCTGCCGGAATACACATTATAGCAGAACAGACTGTATGCGGTTTGAAAATTGGACCTTTCTGGTTGTGTCACATAATATAAAGAAAACAATTTGGTAATTCAAGGCAGCACCCAGAGAAGGATTCAGCAGAGCACATGGAACAACCGTACACATTCTTTGATCCATATTTTTAGAATTTAAACATTCAAGCTTGTGCAGGCTGACATGTATATTATAAAGTAGTACACAGTACTTATAAGCAGATGATTTAACTGGAATTTTTCCTTCTCTCAGAATCTGTGAACTCGTTGGAGTTTATGATGAAGGGAATTTCAGCTTCAGAAATGCTTGGACGTACTTGGTCATAATTAACAACCTTTCACAAATAGTAAGTCTTGTATTATATACCTCTCTATATTAAATATGTACGGCCTACATTCTTAGTTTATAGCATTTGATTCAAATATTTTCAGTTGATCTATCTTCTGTATTAGTCTTAAACTTAACATTTGTATATTCCATGAAATGTAGCTGAATTCTCTCTTCACATTTTCCTATATAACCGCAGTTGTCAAGAATAACTTCAAATTATGTTTGCAGGAAATCTACATCTTCCTTAGACTTGAACAATGAAATAATGTGTACTTGTATTTATTCGTTGGCAAAAACAACTTTTTAACTTGAACATTGTATTGATAATAAAGCTGATGAAGTATAGAACATTTTTATTTGATCATCTTTTTCAAACCTGTTTTATTTTAAATTTTGAAGGAAGCTTACAGTCTTTCACATATTCAGAAAACATCCTTTGTTGTACCAAAATTATTGTTCAAATAATGAATCAGATGACAAAAGAATTGCTTCTAAAATCTAAGAACAAGCATCTATTTAGATGTGAACACTTTTTATGGACTCAGAATTGTTTCTCCATTGAGTTAACTTGTTTTTCTTCATTATTGGCACATTATAATTGAAAGTTGTTTATCTATTCTATCTTTTTGCATTTACTTCTACATTGTAGTTTGCCATGTATTGCCTTGTGCTGTTTTATAAAGTGCTGCGAAATGAATTGAACCCAATCCAACCAGTGGGCAAGTTTCTTTGTGTGAAACTGGTTGTATTTGTATCCTTCTGGTAAGTTTATTTTTTTTATGAAGTTAATTTCTCGTTTCATACTCCTGGCTAATAGTCGGACATAAAAACAAAGTTGCTGGAAAAGCTCAGCAGGTCTGGCAGCATCTGTGAAGGAGAAAACAGAGTTAACATTTCGGGTCCGGTGATCCTTCCTCAGAACTGATGGTGCCTGGGAAAACATCAGTTTATATGCAGAAAATAGGGAGATGGGTGGGGTATGGAGTAAACGATAGGATAGAGCCCAAAGAGAGAGAAAGACAATTGGACAGACAAAGGAGTTGCTAACGATCAGGCTGGGAGGGTAAATAGTTGTTAATGGGGACTGTTAGTGACTAACAACAGGGGGTGTGTACTGGCAGGCTATGTGGTAACAAGGCCTGGTGTGTGGGTTTGGGGGCTGGGACATGGGAGAGTTTAGGCCCTAAAATTATTGAACTCAGTTTTGAGTCCGGAGGGCTGTAGGGTCCCCAAGATGAAAATGAGGTGTTGTTCCTCCAGCTTGCGTTGTCTTGCTGCAGTGTTCCAGTGTTCTGTCTCTTTGGGCTCTATATCCTATTGTTTACTCCCTACCCCACCCACCTCCCTATTTTCTGCATATAAACTGACGTTTTCCCAGCCACCATCAGTTCTGAGGAAGGGTCACCGGACCCGAAACATTAACTCTGTTTTTTCCTTCACAAATGCTGCCAGACCTGCTGAGCTTTTCCAGCAACTTTTGTTTTTGTTCCTGATTTACAGCATCCACAGTTCTTTTTGGTTTTAGTAGTTGTACATGTCTGTCTTAAACATTTGGAAATAAATTTTAATTATTTTGTGGTTTGCCAAATAGGAACATTATAATCCTCAAACTGAAACCTGCAAAAAAAAAATTAACTTCCTGAATACCTTGTGCAGAATCTGAGTCTAGTTTGTTAATTAGCTTATTAATTGATTGCAAATTGTTTTGAAAAAGTATTTTTTCAATTCATTATAGGCAAGCTGCTTTGATTGCTGTACTTGTGAAAGTTGGTATAATTTCTGAGAAACATACATGGGACTGGGAAAGTGTGGAAGCTGTTGCCACTGGTCTGCAGGTAAATTTTAACAATTTCATGTTTAAACCAACGTATCTGGAACCTGTTTATTCCTGGTCTTCAAATTGTTTTCAGAGGTTTTGTCTTAGAAATTAATATTTAGTATTTGCTAATCATCGTTGCTGTCTTGGTAGATGTCTAGTATTTCGTCTATTTGAGCAATGGAGAAAAGGTCCACCATTTAATGATCAGACACACACTCCACATTCATTACAATCTTCCAGAGCTGGTTACATTTACAGATCAGGCTGGGGGATTTGAATGTATTAAAAACAAAAAGGACAGAAATAACTTTTTAGATTAGTTAACCTGGCATCAGATGGGTAGGAAATTGCAAGAGTATATTCAATAATTGACGTCCTGGGGGTAGCAAAGTAACTTTTGTGAAAAATACGTCTGACCTAGTAAAGCTGTTGAATACTGGCATAGCACACATGAGGAGGGTAAAATTAACTGTTGATTTTTCAATTCATTTAGTTAGATTCTGCTAAATAGATGATGAGCTAAATGTGGGTTTGAGAGATTTGAAGATGACTTCATTGGGAAATTTTAGTTTAATTGAATTTTAATTGAATTTTATTTTAATTTTATTTTAAATTTGTTAGATGAAATTTATTTCAATTTTAAATTTTAATTGAATCATAGAATTGTAGAATTCCTACAGTACAAAAGGGGCCATTCAACCTATTGAATCTGCACAGTCACTCCAAAGGGCGCATATGCGCATGCACACACATGTATACATGTGCATGCGTACACGCACACGTTTACATGTACACACACGTATACGCGCACGCACACCCTATCCATGTAACCGCACATTCACCATGACTAATCCACCTAACCTGCACATCTTTGGACTGTGGAAGGAAACCAGATCAACTGGTGGAAACCCGCGCAGACACGGGGAGAATGTGCAAACTGCACACAGTCACCCAAGGATGGCATTAAACCTGGGTCTTTGGGAGGAGTGCTAACCACTGTGCCACCCATGTGGTAAGTACTTCCTTAATAAGGAGCAAAGATAAAAGGGGAAATTGTGGAATTGACAAAGTGATAAGTAGCAGTGCTACTTGAGATTGAGGATGAATTGGTATATTAGTGTATAAAATACACTGATCTAAAATTCCAGGTGCTCCTTTTATGAATTACACAACAGGGATTAGAAAATGGAATGGAACTGATTTCTGCTAGGATTTTGTTCCATTTGAAAGAGGGCAAGCCCTCCTCTTGTTAATTGTGGTAGTGAAAATGGAATCCCTAGAATATCCCAGGAACTTTGACAGGTATACCTTAGCTATCAACAGATTTCACTGAAGACTATCATTGTGATTTATGTCAATTCTTTGAGGGAAGGCACAAAATTATTTGCATTATAAGGTGGTCAGTCCTAGAGAGGATGTAAACAGAATCTACAGTAGACTAAAAAGGCCATTCAGCCGTACTTGTGTTTGCTAGCATTTACCACTTCCCATCATTTTCCTCTAACCCTATCAGCATATGCTTCTAATTACACACAGCTAGTGAATATAATTAATACAGTTAAATGATTCACTGAAAACAATTATTTCAAATGTTAGAGCTCTTTGAGGATGTAACTAGCACAGTGATTAAAAAAAAAACAAATGAATATTGTATTATTTGTGTGTTCACGAAGCATTTGATTAGATACCACAATAAAAACTTGTTGCAAAAAATTTGGAGAAATAGTTAGTTGATGGTCAGGAAACAGTAGTGTTAAGCGGCTTATAAGAGTCATCAAAAGACTCCTAAAAACATAATGGTATAGAAGGAGACTATTCAGTCCATAAATTTTCTCTTTTCTCTGTACAGCAATGCAGCCAGTTCCAGTCCCCCACTTTATCTCTTTAGGCCCGAAAGATTGTTTCCTTTAAATGCCCAGTGTTTTGAAATCATTCAGTAACTCCTCTTCACATAGGCAGCTTGTTCCAGATTATTACCACTTATGCCCGTTTTTAAAAGAAAATTCTTGCTCGCATCCCCTTGCATTTCTTGCCCAAAAAACTTAAATTTGTTTTCCTTGTCCTTGTACTATCAATTAATTGAAACAGCTTTTCTTTTACCATATCTAAACTTGGCATAGTTTTGTGCACCTCTATCAAATCTCTTGCAATCTCCTTTTACTCCAAGGAGAACAACCTTAGCTTCTCTGACGTATGACCTTGTAACTAAATGGTAATATCATTTATAATGTAATCTGATGTGCCATTAGGTGACATGAGATTCACGGAGAGCTTGGCAATTGGATACAAAATTGGCTTAATAGCAGGAGACAGTGATGGTGGAGGGTTGTTTATTGGATGGAGGCCTGCGACCAGTGGTATTTCACAGGGATGAGAGCTGGGTTGACTTTTGTCATTTATATACATGATTTAAATGAGAAGATAGGAGAAATTGTGAGTAAATTTGATGCCAAGATTGGTGATATAGTGCACAGTGAAAGTGGTTATCTAAGGTTACAAATAGATCTTTATCAATTGGGTTAATGGGCTGAAGAGTGGCAGTTGAAGTTTAATTTGTATAAATGCAAGGCATTTTGGTAAAACAAACAAGGGGTAGTTTTGTAGAACAGAGGGACCTAGAGGTTCAGGTACATAATTCTTTTGAAGTTTGCATCTCATATATAGATAGGGTGGTTAAGAAGGCGTTTAGCACGCTTGCCTTCATTGCTCAAACCTTGGAGTATAGGAGTTGGGGCATTACATTGAGGTTGTACAGGGTGTTGGTGAGGCCTCTTCTGGAGTACTGCATCCAGTTCTGGTTACCCTGTTATAGGAAGGATATTAAGCTAGAGACGGTTCAGAAAAGATTTACAAGGATGTTGTCAGGAATGGAGGGTTTGAGCTATGAGGAGAGGTTGGACACACGAAGACTTCTTTTCACTGGAGAATAGAAGGTGACCTCTACAGAGGCTTATAAAATCATGAGGGTTATAGATAAGGTAAATGATAGGTGTCTTTTCCTTAGGCTGGGGTATTTCAAGACTAGGGGCATATTTTTAAGATGAGAAGAGAAAGATTTAAAAAAAAAAAAAGACATGAGGGGCATTCCTCTGGAAGTTCATTCCACATTTGGAATGAACTTCCAGAGGAAACGTGAATGCAGGTACAGTTTCAACGTTTAAAAGACATTTAGATAAGTACATTAATAAGAAATGTTTGGAAGGATTTGGGTCAAGCGCAGGCAAGTGGGACTAGTTTACTTTGGGATTATGATCAGCATAGATTGGTTGGACGGAAGGGTCTGTTTCCATGCTTTGAGTCTAATATCCTGTTCCCATGAACAGTTTAGTAAATTTCTGCACCCTCAAGGAATTTCACATCCTCAATATTAATGTGTTGTTACCATTTGGATGCTGCAAAGATCAGCACTGGGGCATCAGCTATTTAAAGCTTATATTCTCAAAGCAAATAACAAAATTGAGTGTAAAGTGATTATGCTGACAATACAAAGTTAGGTGGAAACATATGCTGTGACATAGATAGTGTCTGTAAAGGAATTTAGATGAAATTGGCAGATGGAATATAATTTTGGAGGAGACAATGGATTTTGTTTTTTAAATGAGAAACTGGGGTTTTGCTTTCCACTACCAAGAAAGGAAATACTTGGTTTAGAGTGAGAGGTGAAGAATGTTCACTGGATTGATTCTGAACAAAAAAAGGAGCATTGCCTTGCAGGAAAGATTATGCAGTTTGAAGTTTAGAAGAATGAGCTAAAACATTGAGGTTTCTGAGAGGATTTAATAGGTTAGATGCTGAAAGACTCTTTGCCCTGGCTGTAGAATTTAGAAAGAGGGTCATTGTCTCTAGTTAAGGGATTTTGGCCACTTTGGATCATGTGGAGAAATTTCTTCACTTTGAGGATCGTGAATCTTAAGAATTCACTACCCTAAAAGACTATTGGATGTTCAGTCTCCTGAGTATATTCATGATGACGATGGAGAACTTTTGAAGTTTCAACAAGCCAAAGCTGAACTTGAGAATATGCGACCCTTTCTTGTTTCTGTTCTTTTTATGCTCTAAGTATCAAGACTCTCTAGAATTAAGATTTGTGTAACCAAACACAGTTGTTTCATCAAATACTTTGTATTTTTTCCCCCAGGATTTTGTGATTTGTATTGAAATGTTTTTTGCTGCAATTGGTCATCATTATAGTTTTTCCTACAAGCCATACGTCCAGGAAGCTGAAGAAGGCTCCTGCTTGGATTCTTTTTTTGCCATGTGGGATATCTCTGACATCAGAGCAGACATATCGGAGCAAGTACGGAATGTTGGTAAGGAAGTCACGTTTAAGTGAAATCGTTTTTATTTCACCTAAACATCTATTCATAACCAATATTTTCACATCATCTTTAGAGTCTGAGCTGTCTTTTATGAAATATCAACTGGAATTATATTCATTTGCAACACAGGAGAATATTTAGCCCATTGAGTCAATGCCAGTTTACTGTGGATGAATCCAGTTAATCTCAATTCTCTGCTCTATCCCTATAGCTATAAATTTATTTCCTTTTTGTAATCTTGCCTCTGTTCCTTTGACCCTTACGAGCAGCAAGTTCCAGATCATTATCACATGCTGAGTAAATGAAGCTTTTCCTCACATTTCCTGCATATCTTGTCCAGAACCTTTGTATCTTAGTCCCCTTGTTCCCAATAGCCCATGGTACATTTTTCCTTATCCACTTGATCCAAGCTATCAATCTTGTACACTTCCATCAAATATCCCCTCAATCTCCTTTGCATCAACAAGAATGACCCCAGCTTTGCCAATCAAAAAGAAGCTAAAATCCTCTATTCTTGAAACTACGTTGGTAAGCCTGTTCTGCGTTCAAACAAGGGCCCTCCCATTCTTCATAAAATATATCAAAATTGGATATAATACTCCACTTATGCCCTAACCCATGTTTTGTAAAGGTTAGCATTACTTTCTCACTTCTACACCCAAATCCTGTATCCAAAAGCCCAAGATCCCAGATGCTTTGCTAACATTTTCAGTTTATTCTGCTCTATTACAAGATTATTTAGTAAATGTTGTCCAATAGCAGAATCACATCTAATGTTGGATATGATGAGCTATAGCTTGCAAGCACAGGCTGGTTGAGCACGATCAGCATGCTGCCTGCTGTGTATATTCAAGAGGACATGTTGTTTGATATGGTCTACCAGTTGTTTAGTCATCAGTATACAGACTTGGAATCGGACTGGCACTGAAACTCCTATAACGTTAGATGTTTGTATGGTAGATAATGTCTTTTAGGCTGATGCAGCTTCCTGTTGGTGCAGAAAACAAGTCTTGTATTTAGTAGCAATAAATTTATCTGTTCAGAGCCAAAAGTAGGGTTAGGGCTATACATATTTTCATGAGCTTGCAGGTTGTACTGCAGCTGGTGATCAGTGTAGCCATAATTATGCAAAATAGTTTTGATAGGCCATATCTCAGGATCATGCTTACACAACAAGCAGATGACTAGGTCCCCAGTCTATTACTGTCTACCAAAAGTCTACATGCAATATGTGAGATAACAAGGTGCAGGGCTGGATGAACACAGCAGGCCAAGCAGCAATATGTGTTGGGATTCCTACAATTTCGTATGCTACAAGATTAATCTCAAGTATGGCTTTATCCTTCTGCCGGACAACATTCACTAAATATTCCAGACTGCATCAAGAATTATATTCGAAATCAATTTGATTGGTTTATTATTAAGTTAGGCTCAAAGTGTGATGCATTTGCTTGTGCTAGAAGTAACATAAACTAATAGGCAAGATCCTGTTTAATGTAGGCAAAAAGAATTTGTGCATGCATTGCACCATTTGCAGTAGGAAAGTGATCATAAACTGCCAATTTCTGCATTCCCATGGCAACAGCCTGTCCAATCAGAGTCCACCCGCTTGGTCTGAGAGAGATGATTGACAATTAACTGTTCCAGCTGCATCACCATGCCAACAATGGCCCAACCACACAGCACCCCCTCTTTTTATACCGTGTAAACTGCTGTCCCTTTTTCATGTCCAGTTTCTTGCTTCCTAGTCCTAATGAGCACAAGACTACAAGCTGTGACTCTGTCTCCTTTTAGCAATGACTTGATTTTGTATTAAAAGCATATATAACTAATGAAGGAAAGGTACATGCAGGAGGTATGATTTACGAATGTATAACATACAAACTCTTGTATTTATGAATGCGATCCCAAACTTGGTTGTAATTTCCTGTACTTACAAACAGCTGCTTTACATTGTCTTGCATTGTGCACTGACTTGTGAATGGACTCTAGAACAGAGCCTATTCACAACCCAGGGATTGCCTGTCCAGTGCAATGACTACAGGAGCTACAACATTCCTTGACTTTGTTACTTAAAACAATGATGCAATACAAAAGTCAAAGAAATTAAAACTAAACTTGACCACCAAGACTTGCACCACTACCTTCAGTGATTTGTGCACATAGGCTCCTCTGTTTCTGCCCACCTTTTGAATTGTATCCTTCATTTGCACTGCCTTTCCACATTCCTCCAGCGAAAATGAATCATCTCTCACATGTTTAAAGTTCAGCTGCAACATGTTCTGTCAATTCCACCATCCTGTATATTTACTAAAATCTATCACTTTCCTTTGCAACACTTAAATTTTATGTTAGGTACAGATTTTGAAATTGTGCTGCACATCCAATTCTAGATCATGAACATAAATTTAAAAAGTGGTCATGGTATTCATTCCTGGAGAGCATTCTGAGGTGAGGAACCTCACTGTATACTTTCCTGAAGGGTGAGAAAAAACAGTTCACTGATGTTCCTTTCCATGCTTTTCCCATGGACTAAGCTTGCTATATTGTATTTTGTCTATCATGTGACACATTGATCAAATACTTTCTGGAAGTCAATTGCACTACACTCCACAACTTTATTTTACTTCACCAAAAATTCAATCAAGTTAGTCAGTTAAATAGATTTGCTCTAAATAAAACCTTGTTTCATAATACCTGAGGTAAAATACTGTTATTGATGGTTCTGAATAAGAACCCTATCTGGCTCAAAATGTTACCTTTGTTTCTCTCTTCACTGCTGCTGCCAGACATCTTCAGTTTCCCTAGCACTTTTTTTTAAAAATCCGATTCCAACAGTTTCTATTACTGCTGTACCATTTACAATCACAAGGTGGCGTCGTCTGTCTCAAATTGCTTATAAAAGAATTATTTTCTTTCCACCCTGTCTGCCACAAAAAACATTGTTTATAACTGGTAACAAAGAAAGTGACCATTTTAGCATTGTTGTTTTCCAATGGACAGTTCATATTTGGGGGTAAATAGGTTTGATGGCAAGTAAAACTTCATTATCAAACCCCAATTTAACCCCAATCTAAAGTCAGCAAATTGAGTTGGTATCATCTCCGCTGTTTTCCAGTTTTGTAGAAGACAGTTATAATGTTAACGGAAGAATAAATATTATATGTGTGGAACTGACATGTTGCTAGCTGTTGGTTCAAAATCTGCTCTGCGCAAAATAAATCTTGTCCCATGACTTGAGAATGCTGGATTATGTTATAATACGAAATCTTCAAACACTGCACCAGCTGTGCTGATGACTTTAGTTGTCTCCTTGTCTTTCAAATTTGGCGTCAGGCCCCAACTTGACTAGAAGACAGGGATTGTCTCCTTCCTGCTTTCCCAAGTATTTCTTGCTTGTAGGTAAGATTTCTGAAGGAACGCATCTAATGAAGCAGAATGCTCTTCTATATAGCACAGGTTTAAGTTAATCAATGAAAGAATCTATGCAGACAACTGAATCTGATATATGGTGTGTAAATGTAGTGGCAGCCACTTCATCAAGATGTTACTTTTTTTGGATGTGACTTGCAGAAATGATTTAAAAGTGAATAATGTTCAATTTTTAAATTTAAGGGAGGACAGTTTTGGGTCGACCAAGGAAAACAAATATTGGTGTAGAAGAGGAGCACAATGAACACACAAGCCTTCTGTCTTCAGCAAGCCAGGACCTGAATTCTGATACTCCATCCCTCCCACCTTCTCCACTGGGACATTACCAAGGATTTGGACAAACACATGCAGTTCTTGCACCCTATCCTAAATCTATTCCAGAATCAAATGACTGTCTTGATGAGTTAGCCAAAGAGAAAGAAACTGAAGACTCCTTAAATCCGGTGCCTAACAATTCAGCATGAAACTGATTAAGACATGTGTATTGTTACTTCAGCTATTCACCTCCTACGTTCCTTTTGAGGTCATATATTTTCTCTTGCTACCATAGATAACCATACTGAATATTATGGATGAACTCAATTTGAAACTTGGATGAAGTTTAGAAATCTAATACTGTATATTAAGAAAGATGACAAGAAATGAGGATGAATACTGAATAAGTAGATGCACAAAATTCTGGAATTCTTAAAACAATTTTAAGTATACAATCTGCCCATGATGCTAACATATTGGTCAGAGCATTACAGGATCCATCAATGTGCAGAACCCTCTGAAATTACTAGTTAACAAGCATTGTTAGAATCTGAAGTGAATTTTAATAATCCTTTGATACAGTAGCAACCACTATGCTTTTTTTTATTCTTTCTTGGGATGTGGGCATCACTGGTTAGCTAGCATCTATTGCCCATCTCTATTGCTCTTGATTGTGGTGGTGAACTACCTTTTTGAATTGCTAAAATGAAATGAAAGTCACTCTAATGAGACAGCAGCTTTTGGCTCTCACTAGAGGGAGATGATTGGTGTGATTATTCTGAGGATCATCACATCTCAGGTGAGGGGCAAGGTTGAGAAGCTGGATCTTTGGTGATTTTTGATGGTGCAGGAATTGAACCTGTGCTGTTGGCATCACTCTATGTCACAAACCAGCTGTCCAATTAACTGAGGTATGGTTTAGGGTACACTCTCTCAGTGTTGCTAAGTAGGGAGTTCCAGGATTTTGACCATGTGACAGTGAAGTAACAGCATTACATTTCCAAGTCAGGATAGTGTGTAATCTGGAGAGGATCATGCAAGTGTTCCCATGCTAATACTGCACCTGTCCTGCTGGATGGTAGAGATGGTGGATTTGGAAGGTGTTCTTTATAAATACCATTCATTTCTATTCTACCTTAAATTGCTTGAGCATCTGTTAAAACTGACTAAGCAATAATCTATACTTCCTACTTATCAACTTAATTGTGTTACCGTTTGCAAATGATTTGGTAATAAATGAATCTTGTCAAAGTAATGCTGGCTAGAAAATTTGTGAGCACAATTAAAGGAAACAAAGAAATAACAAATAAAATAAAACAAAGAACTGCAGATGCTTTAAGATTTGAACCAAAGCAGAAATTGCTGCAGAAACTTCAGGATCACCGAACTTGAAACATTAACTCCCCTTTCTTTTCTCATGTTGCCAGACCTGCTGAGTTTCTCCAACAATTTCTGTTTTTTGCTGAGGAATAATAAATGTCAGGAATGTTGCACAACAAGTGAGTAGGGTGGAGCATGGCAACTGGGGTAGGTAAAGATCAGTCTCTTGTTTTTAAAAAAGGAAAATTTCATTTTTTCCTGTACCAAGTAGTTACACTTTTAACCATTTTTTACTGTAATTCAACCTGAATTGTAATACATTAAGAAACTTGGGCTGGCTAATCTGGAAATACAGGGCAGTAGGGTAGATGGGGTGGTAGAAACACTATACTGTGTATTTAACAAGCAGGAATTTAAAAAAAATTTTTTTTGGGTTTCTTGGCTAACTTATCTACAAGATTTCAAATTTAATATGACAGGCTTGAATAAACTCCAGAAACGTTACATCAGTTTATTTATAACTCATGGCATTGGAATTGTGTATAATGGAAACATTTAGCTATGTGTTAACATAGTACAGGACAAAAATATTTTTGATTTCATAGTGGCCCACATTGGCAGTATAATTGCTGGCAAATTCTAAGGAAAAAAGGGCAGAATGCCTGTGTTGAAGCTGATAAAACAATTAAAAGATTTTCTTCCCCATATTTTGAGATGCTTTTGAGAGTTGTGCATCATACTTGAAGATCAATTTGTAACCACTGTAGACTGGATCAGAGCAATGTAGCTTATTTGCCATCCACTCCGTGTTTCCATCCTTTCAAAAGGCTAAACAGATGTCAAATCTGACTTCTGGAAAGAACAGTAGTCTGAGTTTTAGAATTAGTCTTAGTGCTGCTGTGCTACTGGGATGCTAAAGAAATCGGAGTTGTATTTAATGCAGAGCTATACAATTTATAATCCACATTTTAGGGATAGGCAATGATGACCTTACCAGTGATGTATACATCTCGTGGATGAATTAAGAAAATTCCTCTGCTAATGTTAATTTCTCTTTGAAAAGATCACTTTTTATACCACTATTTCTACTGGTAGCACACTGACATTTCAGGTGAAAGGCTGTGGTGTAAAGCTCCTCCTTGTGAATCCTGAGAACACAACCTTGGTGTACGCTTCACTCTAGTAATGAGGAAGTATTGCATTACCATTAAACCCAATTCCCTGCTATCCTTTTGGGCGATGTAAAAGCTCCTGTGACGCTTCCTACAAAAGCCATTTGTCAAATATAGTGGTATGAAAAATCACTTTTTAAAGAGTTGTTTGAAAAATTGTACATGAAAACAAAGCATTTGTTACATTTTGAATAGTCCAAAATGTATTCTCGATAAGACCCAACTCCAAACAGTAATTACAGCAGTGTGCAGCTCCTACTTTAGTGGCTTATTGTTTCAAAACAGCAATTTTGTGACATAAGCAGCTTGGATCCATTTCCTGCTGTTAAGCAAATTACTGAAAACAAATCTGTGGCTCGGGCATCTTTAAAATTAAAATTTGTTGTCTGAGTACAGACAATGTTAATTTGTCACTTGTACATTTATAAAGCTCCTTTTGGACTGTTGCCTATCCAAAATTATTGCTATTTTAATATGAGCCACCTAAGTTCCAAAAATTATCAGAAGTGTTATAATGCTGGGTTGCTAATGAAATTTAACTAATTGGAGGTTTTACACTAATTATAGTGTGAATTGGAAGTGTACCTATATTCTGAAACAGTTGTGCATTATCAGTAAGATTTATTCATGTCCAGAAATTAAAATGGAATTATGATGACAAATATTAAATGGTAAGGCTCCTAGCAAGTTGATTAAATAAATGGCCTTATGTAAATCAAACTCACCTGCACTAAAATGGTTATCTGTACAATATGTATTGAACATACTATTCAGAAATGAATAGGAAATTTTGAATTTGCTTCTTAAACTGTAACATAGCAGTTTAAACTTGGAAGAAAAGCTACCAATTGCTTAATAAATATGGATCATGTGAAACTTGACTCTTGTACTTGTTTTGATTCCTTGTTAAGAATATAGAATTTAAAAAAACTTTTAATCGTGTTTAGAGAAATATACAATCTGTTTAATCAACTTCAACCACTAATTTAATACTTCACAGAAGTGGTATGATTGTGCTGAATGATCTGCATGAAGTTGACAATCAATATATGGCAGTACATTCCAAATTAATTCATTTAAAATCTGCAGGTGATCCTGTACTTTAATTCCATGAATATGATTTCATTTTGTATTTTGATCCCTATGCTGTCTCCATTTTACTGTTGTGCCTCCTGTTTTCTCTCTTGAATTTAATCCTCTTGCCTTTACTCCACTTGCCTGAAGTTTCATTTTCCCCACCTTAATTGGAAATATACAGTATTATAATCAAACAAAATCAGGAGAGGAAATCATGTCTGGCAAATTATCAGAATTTTTTGAGGTGTTAATAAGCAGTATAAAGGGGAACCAGCACATTGCATTTTAAAATTTCAAATATAGCATGTCAGCAAAAAATTGCATATAGGGCTACTTAAGATGAGCCCAAGGTAGTATATTAGCATGGATAGAGGTTGCACAACTAATAAAGGAATTGGGATAAAAGGGGCATATTGGGTTCGCAACTGAAGTGCTATTGAAATTAGTGCTGGAGCCACAACAATAATCTATACATGCATCTACATTAATGACTTGGATGATGTAGTTGAATGTATTATAACCAAGTTTGTGGATGACAATAGGTGGAAAGGCAAGTAGTGACGCTAACAGTCTACAGAGGGCTTTAGACAGGTGTTATGCGGGCAAAATCTTAGCAGATAGAACATAATGTGGGAAAATGTGAAGTTATGCACTTTCACAGAGAAAACAGCGACATATTATTTAAATGAAGAAAGGCTTCAGAAAGATGCAATACCAAGGGATTTGGGAGTCCTCAAGCACAAATCACAAAAAGCTACCATACACATTTAACAAGTTCTTTTGTTACCCTTTAAAGGAAGTGAACTGTAAAAATAGTGTTTGCTACAATGGTACAAAGCTCTAGTCACACCACACATGGAATACTGACAGTAGTCTTGGTCCCCTTATCCAAGGGAAAAAATGGTTTTGGAGGCAGTCCAGAGAAAGTTCATTAGGCCAATTCTGTACATGGAAGGAGTTTCTTAGGTGGAAAGATTGAGGCTGTACTTACTGGAAATCAGATGAATGAGCAGAGACTTTATTGAAATACAAATTTCTTAGAGGGCTTGACAAGGTAGATGCAAAAAGGTTGATTCCCTTGTGGGAGTGTCTAAAACCAGAGGGTATAATCTCAGAGTAAGGGTTCTGACATTGAAGGATAAGATGAGGAATTATTTTCTGAGAACAGTGAATCTGTGGACTCTTTACTGCACTAGTTTGACAAGGCTGTGTTAAGTAAATGTAAGGCTCAGATTTTTAACAAGTGTGAGTATCAAGTTACAATTGGGTTATGGTGAAGTCATCAGATCAGGTATGATCTCATTGAATAATACAGCAGACCTGATGGTCTGAATGGCCTACTTCTGCTCCTATGTCTTGTGTTCTTATTTCTCACTGAGCACTGTAATGTGTGCACTTCATCTTCACATTTAGAATCAGTGTATTTTCCATTGTGCTTTTTTGTTTGAGCTGACACCTTGATTGATTACTTGAAGTCCTACCCTTACCAGAAGTTTTGATATTCCTTTAGTTCCTTCCTTTTATTACTTTTGTTAAATTTTGTTCATTTACCTAATTTCTAACCTCTGTACTTGTTACTGTAATTTTATCTTCCTTCCCCCTCTTTCCTAGCTTAAACTACACACTGCTAAATACCTGTTCTGCCAGTTCATCAGTTCCTGTTTAGATGGAGTCTATCTTTCCATAAGAGCTCTCATTTTACCCAGATGGCCCAATAAAATGGAAACCATCTCTTTTTAGCCAAGCAATAAGCTCCCTAATTTTTCCTTTCTTTTAGTTTGTATCTGGAAAAGTAATTCTGAGATTACCTTCTTTTGAAGTCTTGCTCTCTAACCTCCTATGTGGACAATGAATAAGATGCATCTTATCTCTTACCACAATGCCCAAGCACTTGAGAGGCAGCAAAGCACCTGGGATTCCAAGGGGTCTGCAACATTGAAAATGGACTCTATTAGCCTCCAGAATTACTGCTTTTGTCTTTTCAGAGCTCTGTTGATGTTGTAAAGGCCTTTATACTAACCTCTAGGGGATTGTATCAAAGTTGGAAGAGTTGTCCCATGAGCTAATTAAGCAACAAAGGCATACTCGTAATCACAGCTTGCAAACAAGTCTCAGATAACCATGATCATTCCTGGGATTGTCTTTTCGCACCAACAGGACTGACACACCATAGGGGCACAGTGCAACTGTATAGTCCAGAAGAGTTGATCTGGGAGTCATCAACATTGACTCAAGATCCCATGAACTTGCATATAAGACAAAATGGGCACAAATATCCTATTAATTATCCAAAGTCTGCCCAACATCTATGAGTAGGGGTGTGATAGAATATCCTCCACTTGCCCAGATAAGTGTAGCTCTAAACACTTTAAGGAGCGTGACATCATCCAAACTGAAGCAACAAAGTTCTGAGGAAGGGTCACCAGACCCGAAACATTAACTCTTGATTTTTTCCTCACAGATGCTGCCAGATCTGCTGAGCTCTTCCAGCAACTTCTGGTTTTGTTTCTGATTTACAGCATCTGCAGTTCTTTCGGTTTTTGTAAAGCAACCCACTTGACTGGAACCTCATTCAACATTCACTACGGAGAAACTCATATACAATCTTCATTGCTCAGTTCACCAAGGTAGTTTACTACCACCTTTTCATCTCAATTAAGGATGACAATAAATGCTGGCACAGACAGTAAAGCCCATGAACAAACAAAAAATTACTTTAGATGGTTGTCAACTGTGACGATTTGCACCCAATTGTCTTCATCAATAACAAAAACTGTAATTGGGACAAAAATTACAAAACATCTTTTCAACTAGGGAGGCAATGGCCTAGTGGTATTATCACTGGACTGTTAATCCAGAGACCTAGATAATATTTTGAGGACCCAGGTTCGGATCCTGCCACGGCAGATGGTGGAATTTGAATTCAATAAAATATCTGGAATTAAGAATCTAATGATGATCACGAATCCATTGTCAATTGTCAGGAAAATCCGGTTCACTAATGCCCTTTTACAGGAAGGAAACTGTCATCCTTACCTGGTCTGGACTACATGTGACTGCAGACCCACAATAATGTGGCTGACTCTGAACTGCCCTCTGGGCAATTAGGGGTGAGCAATAAAATGCTGCCTGGTTAGCAATGCCCTCATCCCGTGAATGAATAAAAAAAATTCAAAACCAGCCAAACTGTTTTGGAAACAATTTCTTTTAACAAATAAGCACAAAAGAAGTTTTCTTCCAAATAAGTTGTCTTTATAAGTAACAATAATTTGACAAATTAGTATAATGTGATAAAATCACATAAAAATGTGATTACAGTAAAGGAGCACAGAAGCATGCTTGTACAAATATACAAGAATATATGCAACACATGGCCATTATATACAGTGGTTCAAGAACGTGTATTGCATTGTTAAAAGTGTTAAATGTGACATTATAAAGGTTTTGCTCTGATGAAATCGGTGGACTTTGAAGATTCTATGGCATTATTTGAAGAGGTCAGGGAATTCTCCTGATGTCCCGGCCACCATTTTGTCCTCATCCAAAGACTAAATGGGCACTTAAACTACACACTGCTAAATACCTGTTCTGCCAGTTCATCAGTTCCTGTTTAGATGGAGTCTATCTTTCCATAAGAGCTCTAATTTTACCCAGATGGCCCAATAAAATGGAAACCATCTCTTTTTAGCCAAGCAATAAGCTCCCCAATTTTTCCTTTCTTTTAGTTTGTATCTGGAAAAGTAATTCTAGTTATTCTAGTTATTGGTCATTTAAATTATCTGCCATTTTGCCTACTTAACAACAACTTACTGGATGCCTGAGGATAGCATTCTAATTTCTTTATTCTTCTTGCTGGGTTTCCTTTAGCAGTGAATAGAGAAGTTTTGTTTAAATCTCTTCTGCTTAACATTTCAAGCAGTTGCCTTTCATGACCTCTGATGGGATCATTGACCTGAAATGTTAATTCTGTTTCTCTTTCCACAAATGTGCTCAGGCCTGCTGAGTATTTCTAAGTATTTTTTAAATTTCAGATTTGCAACACTGACAGAATTTTGCTTTGTATTGGTATTTCTTCCCATTCAACTTGACAAATTGTTTGATACTCAATAATTTATGCCATAAAATAGATGAGCTCCACTCTATTTACTTTTTTTTAAAAACATGAGCCCAACTTTAAAATTAACAATAACAAAGGGAAAATACAATGCTAGAAATCTGATATAAATACAGAGAATGTTGAAGAAACTCAGCCGGTCTGGCAGTATCCGTGGAGAGAGAAACATAGGTAACGTTTTGAGTCTGGTATGACAAACTGAGTACTAAAATTAACTATCCATGGTTTACGATCATTGAGATACTGCTTTTGTGATACTGGATTTTCAGTCTAAGTTCATCTCCTGAAATAACTTGGATTGGATTATCCAAAACAAAGGCAGCCTGCTTCCAATGGGAAGTATCGTTCCAAGTATTTAGACTGACGTCTGTGTCCAGATAAATTTCATACCAAAATGGGATTGCAGTTACTCTTCCAGATGAATGTACTTGAACCTGTAATTTCAAACAGATTAACAGAAATGAGATTATGTTTCCATAAGGATATCCAAAAGAACATGTAATGAGAAAGCTGAATAAACAGATCTTTAAAGATTATTTGGTTCGACTTTAATATATTCTCATGTTGTATTACGCACAGCACTGTAACATTGATTAATTTTCATTACATTTCAAACAATGCATCAAATTTACTTGTAACTGTCAAAAAAATCTTCAGTGAAACTAACCATTTGTAGAAAAATCTATTGAG